ATGCCACTTGATGCAACAAGAATTCACACTTAGAAAACTTTGCGTACAACTTCTTATTTTGAAGAGTTTCTAAAGTAATACGCAAGTGAGTTTCGTGATCTTCTTTCGACTTTGAATATATGAGAATATCGTCAATAAAAACGATAACAAAGTCGTCCAAATAATCTTTGAAAGATCGGTTCATAAGATCCATAAAAACTGTTGGAGCATTAGTTAACCCGAATGGCATAACAATGAATTCATAATGACCATATCGAGTACGGAATGCAGTCTTAGGAATATCTTGATCTCTGATCCGGAGTTGATGATATCCAGACCTTAAGTCGATCTTAGAAAAATACTTTGCTCCTTGAAGTTGATTGAAAAGATCGTCAATACGGGGTAAAGGGTATTTATTACGTATCGTGACCCGATTTAGTTCCCGATAGTCAATACACAATCGCATCGATCCATCTTTCTTCTTAACGAATAGGACTGGTGCACCCACGGAGATACACTGGATATAATGAAACCCCGATTAGAAAGATCTTCAAGTTCTTCCTTAAGTTCTTTCATTTCGGTCGGAGCCATACGATACGGAGCCTTTGAGATAGGTGCAGCTCCCGGAACAAGATCAATTGTAAATTCAATTTCCCTTTCCGTAGGAACTCCTGGAAGTTCATCTAGAAAGACATCTTCAAATTGATTAACAACAGGAACATCTTCAAGTTTAAGGCATACCTCTTCGGGATCTTGTAGTGAAGCTAAAAATCCTTCACATCCTTGCCATACCATTGCTTTAACATTTACTTCTGAGATAACACGAGTTCCTTTCTCAGGTGAAACACCTTGGAACACATATTCGGGTTCATTGACGTCACCAAAGATGATTTGTTTGGGTTTGCAGTCGATGGTCACTCGATGTTTAGACAACCAATCCATGCCAAGGATGATATCGAAGTGATCCATTTTCATTGGAAGTAAGGTAACTTCCCGAATTCGATCGCCAATAATTAACGGACAATTTGAGAATTGACCAAATATACATACTGAACTACCCATAGGAGTAGTAATATGTAATGGAAATTCAGTGGATTGTTCATATGATTTAAGATTTTCTTCGAAGTTTTCAGAAACAATCGAGTGTGTAGCACTTGTATCAAATAAAACATATGCATCTCTACTGTCAATAGAAAGGGTACCAGAAACCATACCCGCAGTAGACTTGTCAGCAGATAGTGTAAACACTCGACCACCAGCAGTAGATTGCTTCTCTTTATCTTTAGAATTATCTTTCGGCCCTTGTTTACAATCACGAGCTATATGACCTCGTTGACCACAATTATAATAGGCGCCGGTCATTCGAATACATGGGCCAGGATGATGTCTAAAACCACAATCTTTGCACCGTAACAGAGAATTTGTATTCGAAAAACCTTTATTAGAAGTTCCTTGAAATGCCATTGGAGGTCTATAATTTGGTTGTTTCCACTGTCCTGTCTGATTGGTTCTTCGCCTAGTAGAATTTCCTTGAAACACATCTCTATTCCGTTTCGTACCACTATCACCTTGAGAAAGTATAGAGTCCAGTCGTTCCCTTTCAATGTTCCTTGCAGCATCAACAACCTGGGCAATGCTCGTGAACTGTTGATTGATAAGTTTGGGTCTGAATTTGCTGTTGAGAGTCCATTTGAACTTATTAACCTGGTTTTCTACCGTACTAGCCATACTACCCGCAAAACTAGCCAATCGTAGAAATCTGGCTACGTATTTGGATATGGATTCGTCTTCTTTCTGTTTGAGTGTAGCGTACTCTTGAACATACGCCTCTTTGTCTGCTGCAGTAAAGTATTGCTGATAGAAAACATCTTTGAATCCCGGCCAAGTTAAATTTTCAATAGCTATATCCCCTCCGTAAGATTGTTTCCAAGCTTTCCACCAACGATTAGCATCACCTTCAAGTTTATAAGTAGCTAGTTCCACTCGAATTCTATCAGAACAACCCAAGACTCGGAATACCTTTTCAAGATGTGATATCCAATCTTCGGCGTCAACAGGAGTGGCTGCTGAAGTAAAAGTACGAGGCTTTTGTTTATGAAACTTCTCTAACCATTGACGAGTATCAGCAAGTTCATTACTAGTTCCCTGATGTCTGCGTTCTGGCCCATAGTTCCTAGTATTAGGATTCAGATTTTCACCAGTTTGACGCAATGCTTCCACCGTCTGTGCTATAATACCTGGTAGCATATCGGTAACTGTTTGTTGGACAGCTGCCATCACATTAGGATCAAGTTCAGTTGTTGGCGGAGGATTTGTTTCATTTTCAGACCCAGTTCGACTTCTTCTAGGTCTATCTGTTATTGCCGGTATTCTTCTTGGCGGCATTTGGAACTAACACAAATAATAGGAAACCATTTGCTCGATTAATTTCAAAAAGAAACAAAGCGTACGAGATTCCAAATAATTAACATGTATAAGGCTTAGGATAGTCCTATCTTGGTTCTACCCATTCCTCACAGATCAAACCTAAATTGTACTACAAAATCATAACCTATAGCTCGGATACCACAACTTGTAACACCCCCGTCCCGCGTGGTCAAAGACGGGAGATGCCACAATTGGAATAAAACAAACAACGTGCTATATAAAACAGAGCGGCTAATAAAATTTACCAAAAGATAATTACATAACCACAAACGGAGATAACGTGTCTCAAAATACGGTTCCAAAATACCAGTATGTTTACATTAGACATCAAGAGTTTAACAAAAGTATGACTTAATGGGTTATCTTCAATATTGTCATCTCCATAGCTCTCATCCCAAAATCTCTGCTAARTCATGTACCTGCCGAGGACAAGAAAATCTCGGCTGAGCTTAATGCTCAGTGAACGGAGAATAATATAAATAAACGATGAATATGAGATAACAAGTTCAAAAACAATTTATAACGCCAAGTGATAATCCAAAAGAAAATCAAAATGCCCCAAAAGCATGTCAAGAGTCCGAAGACCAAATCGCATCACAAGGACGCATTGTTCCCATAGGATGATCAGTCCATTCAAGCACAAGTGAGGAAAGGGGTGTGAGCACAACACAGCAATCCTCTCCGTGAATTTAACCACGGCCACAATTCAATATCCGATAACGGTTCCTAGGATCGATCCATACGCCCTCTATTCGACCGGTACATAATCAAGTCAACTTTTAAGGACTTATAAAAATAAGGACGCCATGATCGTTTTAGTCACCATGGAAACATCTCAATACCAGTGCTCCAGTTATTGAGTCTATAGTAAAATGTTTCACAAATGAAGCAATAAAACAAATCAAGTGATCAAAATGATCCATATTCCGAATAAGAATATAAGTCGTAATTCAAAAGGAAACATATGATAAGCATAAAGGGAATTCAAAACAAATTATTCGAAATTTATCACAGATTATCTGGATTAGGAAGCCTTACGCAAATGGCTATCCCCGTGTCAAGTGAGATATGCAATCCGTACCTTAACCGAATTTTACAACTAATGCACGATCAAACGGAAATTCACGATCAAGTTTGATTTTCCCGCGTGCCTAACGAATGCATAACCGGTTACTATTCACAAACCATAAAAACCATAATATAACTATTCTAATAAAATTACTTAGGTCTTAATGTACTTAAACAATGTAGACTTCAATAAGGACAGCTGGATACGAATTGAAAACTCAAACGTAAAACTTAGCATTTTTTTCTTTCGATCCAACCGTTTTCGACTCTCATATTTCTAAGCATTTTTATATTACTTAGAGACCAATCCAGATTATATTGTCTAAACGAAAGTTGTAGATTGGTATCATACGAGTCTACTTCTTTTGAAATCATCTCATTTGGATCATCCATCTATTTTATATGAATTTTACAAAACTGCAAATTAATACGAATACAGTGTAAACAGCCCTAAAAACACACTGTTTCGATCCAATTAGAGTCATAACTGGAATTTTGACCCTTAATAAAAGTTATAGTATACAGTAAGATCTTCCTAACTGCAAAATACGAGCGTATTCCGATATACGATTTGTGACTTATACACTGCCAAAGTACAGGGGTTGCATTGTCGGTAAAATTCGATTCCGTAATTCCCTACTAACTTTTATGATCCAACTTTCATGATTCGCTACATTTACATGTTATAAACATACTTAAACATACTAAACAGTAATACAAGTCCAACGGTCGTTAACCTAAGCTTAATCATGCATTTTTACTCCTTTCAACATTTAACCGAATAATTGGTGTACGGTTAAACATTTACCCACAATCTAACCATAATGAAACTATAATATACCCTTTTTCATTTCTACATCAATATAACCAGTTCTAGCATTCTAAACRTCAAATATATCATGATTTTGACAACATCAATCCATAAACTTAGATATAAACACAATTTATAAACCGGTCTAAATAACCCTAACATAAACACCTTAATGAAACTGAATGAAACTTATACCTTTAAGAAGAGTTCGTTGAGTGGATTCCGAATATATAATTGTTGCSTCGATTTCCTTAGTAACTTGACGTGAAATTTAAAGAGAAGACGAGAGAATTTTAGAGAGAGAAAAAGAGACGAGAGATTGAGAATGAGGAGTTGAGACGGTGACTACACCGTCTCATGCATATATATATATATATATATATATATATATATTAAGTTTTTTTTTTTAATAATTGTTACCGCCTCATATATATATATATATATATATATATATATATATATTAATAATTTTTTTTATTATAAATGTAACCGCCTTATGMAATATATATATATATATATWWWTTMTTTMTWTATATATATATATATATAATTTAACTATTTGACGGTTTTAACACTTTATGTCTAGATTCTCAACTTTACGCCGAATTAGGTATAAACTCAACTTTTGACGCAAAACTCGTCTGAAGTACAAGTTGGTATAACATATGGTACAAATATGTTATGCATAATTTTACCAAAAATTACTTATCACAATTTGTACGAGTTAACGAAACACAGATATTATATTGAGATATAACCATTTGACTTTCTTGTAACCCTTCTTGATGTCTAACAACATTATCACTTTAATGATGTTCTTCATCACCAACAGTAGTATCACTTTCATAACGGTCTTCATCGTTAACAACAGCTTCTCTTGAAATTGAATACGGTAGGATGCCTCTCTTGAATCTGACATATGTTCACTTGAATTGTCGTCTATTTCATAGCTAGGATCATCACTATCGCAATTAGATATCATTCTGTAAACAAAAATAACAATTTCATCACGATTCACCGATGAAAAGATAATTGATGACTATATGTACAAATAAAGACTAAAAACCATTATTATAGCTAGCTTGTTGAAAGCTACTACAAATTTCAATATAAATATATAAATATTATACAACAGTGGCAACAAAAGCAATTGGTTATAATTGCATTATAAGTCTTATGATAGCCATATCTTCTATTTGGCTAAGAATGTACAATAACAATGCACACTTAAATAAACACCCATGCATCTCAGCTCCTTCACATACTCCTCATATAGGCCGCTACTCGGATTTAGGCATGGTAATGGGGTGGGGATGGGGCGGGTTTTGTAATCCCCGGCCCCGGCCCCGGTTTGTAATAACGTCCCCAGTCCTCGCGGGTACGGGGGTTATCATCCCGTCCCAGGTCAAATTTTAGAAATCCCCGGTCAATTCACGGTCAAACCTTATAAAAAGTATCCTTTAGTTTGATTTTAACGGGGATCCCCAACCTCGGTTTGAGTAACATCCCCCGTCCCCGTCCCCGGCCCCATGACCCGTTTTAGCGTGGAATCCCCGTCCCCATTCGGGTCGGATGAACCGGGTTCCCTACCTGGTCGAGGCAAATCACCATCCATACTCGGATTAATCAAATATTGTTGTGTTGTACAAAGGCCTCAATGTTGTTAAGTGTGATTGTGAAAGAAGTGAAATCACTTGGAAGACCTCATGGTTTCATGGAGTTAGTTCCTAATTTTAGAATGAGTTTAACGTTTGTGTAATTAATCTAAGCAAATATGAGCATCACGAATTTGTCATAGAAACAAATATGGTAAGGAAAATGAAACAAATTATATATCTTCTGCTTAGTTACTCATAAAAATTTAGGACGAGAGAAATTAGTGGAGAAGGATGTATTGGTGAGTGCCTGTATATACTATATATTAGATAAGCCATCATGAATACAACCCTATATAGATTCATAAGCACTAATCTCTTTAAGTGCTGATAAAAGTAATCTATAATTTTCTTTCAGTTTTGGTCATTCAAAGTAAAGGAATTGATGCAATAGTCGGAAGGAGATGCAAAGTTCGTCGCACTTAGTGGAGTAAATATCATGCACTGCTCCTAATATTTGCCAAATACATGTGACTTATTTGATAAGTGAAGGGTAATAGTGTTCTTCTCCAAAAAAAAGGAGCTAGCTTCATTTTCATTTTGGTATTTTTATCAAAAATTCATTTTCACATTTGGGCTGCTGGTCAATTGAGAAGCAAATAAAGACACTAATTATCCAATGACTTGTGATAATGAACAGCAGCTTCTCAAACCTTATCATGGAAGGAGAAGAAACCAAAGAAGAAGAAAAAAAGAAATCTGCCTCTTGTTGAAACCTCGGCTGATTTAGTGAAATCACAAGTTTCATTTGGTAACAAGCAGAACGGAGAACAAGATGATTCAATCTCAGAAATTTCTTACAAAAAATGAAATGTAATTTTGGAGCAAACCTGATTAGTCAAGCATCAGGGGCGACGACGAGGTGGTATGACGACGACGAGCGGAGACAGGGGTGGCGACGGGGGTGGTGCGATGGTGGTGCGGCGGCGATGGGGGCGAGGGAGACGACGGTGTGTGAGGGAGACGATGGTGTGCGTCGTGCGAGAGGAAGAAGGAGACGGGAGGGAGATGAGTAGTCAAAAGGTTTTAGGATTTTTTAAGTTTTTTTTTTAATTTAGGTTACCTTTTATTCAGGTTACAGATTACAATTTTAAGGAATTGAGACTTATTTAACATGTTTGTAAAGTCTAATGACTTATTTAACAGGTCTTAGAATGTCTATGTAACACCACGGTTACATAACAAACAATTACCGAACCACCATTAAATTAATTTAGTTTWAAAAAAAACCTCAAATTACGGGATAACGATATAGAGCCCAAGACACATAATTTAATACTTAAAGTTTACATAACGTGATCATCGGGGACATGTCTACCCGGAACATACTAATTATTTACAATCCCAAAAGTTTAATATACATATTTATATATACCTAAACCAAAAGCAGCCTTCACCTGCAAATTGCTATCGATCACTCGACC